ATTTCAGCATTTTTAGATTTCTAAGTGCTTTTTACATTATTGCCCGAAACCCCTTACCATCCACTAGATGTCATGGTAGCCTTACTGGTATTACTGAATACAAGAATTGCCAAAGCAAATTAGGGGAAGTTATTTGAAATTTACCTCCACTGTTTCTGACAGACAAGTCTTTAGACAGTGTGTTCAAGAGAATATCAAACGCCAGGAAGCTGAGTAAAATGATTCTGTGCTGAAAGTTTATCTCCTTTCAGCAAACTGATACAGGGTATGTCCACATTATTTCTTGTAGAAATTTCCAGCATCCATTTGACAGCAAATCATCTAATTCAAGGATTACTCAGGCTGCAGAACAGGCCAGTAATCCTTGTGCTGAGGAAAGAAGTAGCATTTCCTGATTCTGCTAATGTGGATGCATATCAGCTCTGCAAGAGGCATCTCCACACAGGCAAGTAAAGAGGGAGCAGTAACTGCCTCTGGCTGAAGCCTAATCAACAGCCATTTCCAGGTATGCACAGGAGCTTGGTGACTTTCCAGCACTCAGGATTTTAAGGCTAGCATTATAAGATTGTGTTTGCATTTTTCTGAAAACTACAATTTGAATACTGTCTACATCAGAAGGAAATATTTACATTTTGATAGAAGTCGAAGTTTATCTTGTTTACTTTGACAGTTTCAAAAAGAGCACACCATCATAGAAACAAACTATGAATAGGAGACTGGCTTCCTTTTCCAGAAAGGAGAGAATCTTTGCAGTAAGAAAAATAAACAACATCTACCAAAGCATATGTAGTGTACTTCTGTCCATTCTTGCCATACTGCTATTTCTACTGATATAAGACCTATCTTCATGTGTGAAAAGTTAACAAAGTTAGGAAAGAAGATGACACTAATGCTTGGTCACATATGAAGCTACATAAGAATGGCAGAAAACACTGACAAAAACAATTTACTGAAACACACATGTTACTGAAAAGTATGGAAGATGGGAGAACCAGTTATTTGTTCAACTATAGAAAAGCCCATCCACAATGAAAAACTTGATTTAATTCACAGAAAGAAACATTTATCACAAGAAGAAACCTGTACATTTCAGTGCCCAGAATTGATGGTTACACAAGACAGGCAGAAGAGAGGGCACGGTCATGCTTTAAAGAGAAGAAAATTCCCGCTCTTTTGTCCATGGCTGAAGCCTTCTCAGCAGTAAAATGTTTTTAAGAAAAGCATTAAAACACCATTACAGAGCTAAGAGGAATGAGAATGAGCTAGGACTGAATCTGAATTCACTGCATATTTCATGATGAAATTCTCACATGGATTGATGTAGAAGTACTTGGTGCCATTTACAGGGCAAAAAAAAAAAAAAAAAGGAAAAGCACTTTCATTTTACATCTTCTAGAATCACTTCTTGTATCAGAGATAAGAACCACACACTTGGTCTCTAGACACTGATCTAGTTAAACTACCAAGCACATTTAACTGTAGATGGTAGTGATGTTTTGCAACTGGTAGGAATGTATTTAAGCACTTAATCAGCTGAATAGCATTTTATCTCAAGAGAATTATTTTACTCATAACAAAGCTATACCGCTAGAGTAACTATAGTCCTATGTGCATTCCATGAGGCACCACTTAGCATTACTGGTATCTAAGCAAACCTATTACCTTGCTTTATGTAAGGGCTAGATTGCACTTATCCAATGTGCAACAGCTAGAAGACAGCAGAAATCTGTAGATTAGTATAACATAATTAGAAAAAAACAAACCAGCTTAGTGCACTTCATGGGCATAAATTCTTTGACTGAGTTTTTTTTAATTTTTAAAATTGTTAACATTTATAGCTGAGTCTCTTCATTCAGCTTTTCCAGCACCAGTCAGCAGCATTGCAAGGTGGGCATACTCTATGTTGTATTTTTCTACAGTTTAAGTAGCTATATTTAAACCTGTTTTTTCAACACTTTGATTACATAACCATTCCTATGCTTCAAGTTAGGCAATACCCTTCTTGGCAGCTTGTTTTTAAATCAAACTAGATATGCATCAATACATAGTACAAAATTATGACCCAGTATTGATGCATTTCATTTCTCAGTTCAACCTTTCTGAACAGCATTTATACAGGTAAACAGTGAGGCTCTAGACACTTTCTCAACATAAAGAGCACACACAGGCCACATCTGTTGTCAAGTTAGGAGTTTACAAATGATTTAGCAGAGACCCTGCCCTTGTATTATTTTAGTAAGTCATTGTATAATACTACTGGTACAGACTAGATCAGTATTTCAGGTATAAATGTATGAATTGCAGAAAGAGAAGCTGGATTCCTTCTCTCTTCCTAATTTTTACACAGGCTTCATGCCTTTCAAATGGGTTTTAAATGCATCTTCCCACTAATGGAAACTGGGGCTGGGTGTAACAAATTCACGATTTTACAGCCCTAATGCTGTTCCAGTTCAGCACAGAGCTCCTAAGGCATCTGTTCTAGGACCTGCTCATTTCAGCACCTTATCAGTGATCTGGAGGATGAGGCAGATTGAACCCTTACGGAGTTTGTGGATGACAGCAAACTGGGATGAGTAGAAGGTGCAGTGAAGCACAGTGGAAGGGGCAGGATACACTGAAAGGTCAGGCTGCCATCCAGAGGGACTCATATTGGTTATAGCTATGGTTTGACAGGAACCTCATAAAATTCAACAAAGACAAATGCAAAGTCCTTTACATGGGATGGATTAAACCCCTGCACTGGTCCACACAGGGTTACAGATCTGCTTTGCACAACCTAGCTGACAGCAGGCTAAACATGAATCAGCAGTGTGGCCTGGCACCCATGAATGCCAGCAGCATGCTGGGCTGTGAGCAAAGAATAATCTGAGGGAAGGGATCAGTCCCTTCGACTTGGCACTTGTTGCACACCAACTGGAGGGCACATTCTGTCTCCTCCTTCAGTTCATGATCATGTTTGGCGGAGAACTGCCACCAAGATGGGTGGGACTGGAACATATATCCTTCTGAGGGAACCATGTTTGTTCAGTCTAAAGAAGAGAGGGTTCTGTGGGCCACAACAGCTTTCCAATACCTGTGAGGTGGTTACAGAGCAAGTGGACTCAGCCTTGTTACAGTGGTATACAACAGGACAATGAGAGAAAACAATCAACCTGAAACAGAGAAGGTTCTGTCTAAATATAAAGTAAAACCTCACTATGAGGATAATTAAGCACTAAAAGAGATTATTCAGAGAGACTGTGGAATCTTCACCCTGGGAGGTTATTCAAGAACTGACTGGACAAAGCCCTAAGCATTGTGGTTCAAATTCAGTGCTGACTGATTTGAGCAGGAGGTTGCACTAGACAACCTTCTGAGGCCTCTTCCAGCCTAACTATGTCTGTGATTCTATGATTCAGGTCATTGAAACTCTCAGTGTCTACCCTTTTTGTTCTGCAATCAGGAGGAACTTACTTCAAACCCATTTCTCCAAGACCTAAGTTACCCATCTTTTATGCTATGGTCTTGAACTCTCTCTCTTCCAACTGTAATGGATAAAATATAGACTCTTACAGAGGAAAAGCTTAATTCCCTACCACCAACACTAACTTTTCCATTTATCACATACCTATCGAACTGAAACTCTGGTATGGAAAAGTAACAGCTGGATTAAAAAAAATTTAAAACAGTCATCCAAACACACGTGTTGTTATGAAATGGTGCAGCTCTTTGGTACACTAAAACGAATGAAGGAAAACACGACCGTTCTGCATATGCAGATCATTTCCTATATCTGAAAATTATCTAGTAAAATTCTTCTTAATACAGTTAAGATTTCTGATTCCAAAACTTCTTCCAAATGCATTAAAAAAAAAGTTCATCTGCAACATACTAATTTTCCATTCTGAAACTGCAGGTTAGATTTAACATGGTATTTTTAAAAGGTAGAGTTAAGTAAAGAATTTTAAAAGTATGTTAAAACTACAGAAAGCTTAATATACTCCTTTAAAGACAAAATGCTATAGATAGAAGTAAAGAAAGTAAATGAAGCTTGGGTAATGTGAAACTTAAGACTTGGACTCATTTGACTTTATTACGTTCATGCTATAAAAGTAACAGACCAATAACTTTGAAAACCTCCAGCTTTTATGAGCCTAAACCACAAGATATCACAAGCTTAAATTCCCCTGTCAGCAAAATATAGGTATGTGCTGCTATAAGAAGCTGTTTAATCAAGTGTGTGTTCAGTTATTAGACTTCTCAAATTAGACCTCAAATTAAAAGCTATCCCACAATAACACCCTGAAATCACAGTCATTTAATGACTTGCAAACCCTGTTTCTCTTACTTGAAAATGTGTTTGTTCATTATCAGCTATTCCTTCAAATTGGAGTCAATAAAACCAGCTCTATAGCATTTATGGTTTGGAAAAAATACAGTGCTAGTATTTTCTTTGAGTTATCTAACATAACTGAGTTTACAAACACAATTTGCCATTAAAAAATTTCAATATTCATACAAAATGATCCCAAAAATAATGTCCAAAATAACTTAAGAGAAGACACAGCTGCAAGAAATGTGTTGTAGAAACTGAGGGACATTTTGACTCTTTAGTGACTCGTACAGTGTTATTCTTGTACAGATAGGGGATTATTACTTTTGTGAAGATAAGGGACATCTATATTCCCAAACAATTAGCACTGGTAAATATTTAGCAGTAGAACAGGTGAGCAGACAGAATCAAAACAACCTTGTAGTGAAGAGGTGAGACTGTCAACATCCACCCACTCCTCCCCAAAAACTGTAAAGTTTTATTCGCATTTAATGTAAAAAACAACATTCATATAATTTTAAGGTATCTTCATATATTATTTAAAATATTTGATCAGGTAAAAAAGCACTATGCTAACAAATTCATTTCAAAGTCAGATGTCACAAGTAATTTAATATACTTAATTGGTAATTAACCACCAGTGACTAAATTGTAATGGATTTCCAGTTCTCAAAGACACCATAGTTACCTGGTCTAAAAGATCTTCAACCTTTTTTTGCCATCCATCCCTTGCTGCATTTTTCTCACGTTCTTTCAGCTGCAACAGCTGAGTCATGGCTGCCTTCTTATCCTCTTCATGCTGCAGCCTCAGCTCTTCACGAAGCTTATTACATTCCTGTCTGAAAACAAAGGTCAAATAACTAAAATGCAGTGGACGTGTGTGAGAAGTGAAAATGAATTCAGACCTTAATAATAACTGAAGAGATCAGATAATAACAGAAACCTTTGTTTTATGTTTCATTTGATATTACATTTGCATAAAATACATAGTTGATTTCTTATTATGGAATAAAACCCATATATAAATACTTGCCGAAGATTTTCTGTCCACTTTATTTCCAAGTCTCGTGCCATTCTGTCAACTTTGAACTTCTCCTCTTCTCTCATGGCAGCAATCATTGCCTCATGCTGTTGTCTCTCCTGATCTAGTTCTCCCTGCAAACACAAACTTTACAATAGAGACTGATCAGCAGCAAAAACGTAGTTCAAACCTTAATTGAGTATTTCTAAAAAAAATATCAGTTACAACTGGCTCATAGAACTTGAACTGCAACTTTCTCAGTGTGTAATTCTTAATTATGCACAATTAATGCCTATGCACTTGTGAAACAGAAGACTGCATTCATATAAAAAGCAATTGTCCAATAAGTCATCCTGCAAGTAATCTTCGAGTGCAATTACACTCAATCACCGAATATTTTACGTTGGAAAAAACCTCAAAGGGCCTGTCCATCACAGGCCTCACTTTGGAATCAGAGCAGGTTGCTTAGGCCCTTGTAAAGCATACTTTGAATTGGTTTGCATTTTTTAAGCATCAAATAGTCAGTATTTTAAGTTTCAAAGCTTGAGCTGTCAGTATTTGATACAAAGTTCTTGTATCTTCTTTCTGTTTCTTGTCTGGATAAACCTGCTAGAAACAGTTTCACAGTCTGAACACAGAAATAAATCACCTTGTAAGTTCTTGTCAATTTCTGTTCAAATTTTACCATACTAGAATAGTACTAGGTACTATCTAGAAATCATACTTACATTAATGTTATTCAGCAATGCTTGCTTCATTCATGAGAAGCAAACACGGCCCTCTACATTTAATTACGTCTTTTTAAAGTGAGACCTTTTTCTGTAGCATTCTTATATATCTTAAAACCTGTTAAGATAAATGTTATTGCCAGTAACCTGCTATAGATGAGTATCTAAATGTATAATAGGTGAAAAGAGAACAATGCAGTAGTTCATGAGGACACTCAGAAAAATTATAAAAAACAAGAGGAAGCTATAAGCTGTAACAGGGTGCACATCTAATGACCACTGCTGAAATAAATACAAAAACCAAACAACAATACCCTGTTTCAGGCTGTATTTGTTAAGCAAATATGAAAACAGGGTCAGAGAATTTATTTTTTTTTAATGTTTGCTGCTCTACTTCAAACAATTCTGCGATCTTGTAAATGAATGCTATTTACTGAGGAAAGAAAAAGGAAATGTTTACCCAGTATTACGGTCAATGAGCTATTGACAGACTAATTGACAGTTCTAGTTCCATCTAAGTCAATTAAAACAACAATGTATTTGCGCTGAGAAAAAATAATTGCTTCATTGGTATAAAGTGGTCACATTTTCGAGGTGACGGTCTGCTATCTTTCAAGATATCATAGCATATATCTTTAAACTATCCTCAAGTCTCTACTGAAATTCTAATCTTGAGTCTGAAATGAAGACTGTGCCCATTACTCAAGGAAAACATGAAAAAGGTTTCAATGAGTTCTAGAGCTAGTAAGCTATGGATCTTGTTTTGCACCAAGACATGAACTGTCTGCAACAGCAATGGGGTAATACATATCCTTTTAACACACTCCTGAAATTCTATTAAGCTTCTGAATATAATTTGGCATGGCTACAGGTTATATTAACCACAGAAAGATGTGCCTGCAGCACTAGCTGTTAAAGCACTAGAAACGTTCTGAAAACAAAAGCACACCCGCTCCAAAACAACCAACCAACCAAACCACCACAAAGCCAAAACCCAAACCAACCCATCCTAGTTTTCAATTTCTTTTCCATGTCTGCTTGAAATAGAAATCTCTCTTTTAATGAAGCCACATGGGGCTCCTTCAATTGTGTGTACACCGTAATACTTCTTGCTGCTTTAAAAACACGACCAAAATCACTGTGACTGTGCTTTGCACAATTTATTCTCCAACATTATGGTTACCTCAACACTATACAATGAATCTGTGGTCTCTCGCAGTCTTGCTCTAGTTAATTCCAGTTCTTTCTGGAGTATTTCCTGAGCTTCTTGAAGACTGGAGATATGTCCTTCTGCAGTCCCGAGGCCTTGCTCACTTTTTCGCACTAGGTCTTGCAGACGACACACCTATGGCATAACAAAAAAAGCTATAATTTCTATAATTATTACTAATAACAGTCAAGTCACCCTGGTTTTGTTTTTCTCCAGTGTTTTCTAATTCTGAACTAGACAAATTTTTAGTTGTACAGTCTGTTCTTTAATATCACTCAATGATTCTGAATTTAAAAACAAATTCCTGCAATATTATAAAATCAAAGACTCGGCAGAAGGATTTTTCAAAATTAAAAAAATGTATCCAATATGTGTTTGATGCACTTTGCAAGGAAAGAGGTCACATCAAAGATCTGAAATTGCCTGTAACTGCACTGTGAGAAAGCATGTTTTATGCAAATTAATGAGAACTGCTACAAAAACTCTAACCTAATATATAAATTAACTAGGCTAGGCTATAAGTTTCTCTGTTTTCAGACTGCTACCTGCCTGTTTCAAGCTCAATATAATACCTGTAGAGTATGTGGTAATTTCCTTAACTGCTATGTAACAATCCACCCTCTAGCTAAGATAATTGCAATCAAGAAGTCTGTCAAAGAGGATGGCATGGGTTCAAAAGCAGCTTTCTCAGCAGGGAAACTAGAACTAAGCTAACATCCTCAGAAAGCAATAAATACATGCCTACTGTTAAATGAATTCTGTAACTTAAACCAAAAAAGGAAGCAACAGTAGCAATGTAAGAGCTAAGCTGAAGACGTGCCAGACATATCAAAGAGAAGCTTTTCCAGGTCAGTGAAGGCACTGAGAAACTGTTGTCAGTTGTCAATAGAGATCTAAGGGTAAGCTGTGGTTGCAAGTGAAGCATTTCTTTCATGTGCTCAACATCAACAGCAATAAAATAAAACTTATCTCATCTGTACTACATGGAGTGGATTTACCACCCCAAATTTATTGCCTGTACACTTTCTCTCACTCTTTCAATATGCAAAATACACTGTATTACATTTATCCTAGCATAGGAATGTATATAAACTCAAATACTAAGCAGCTGGCCCTAGTTCCCTGTTTCAGCTTGTTAGTCCTTTATTCCTCACCTGTGCCTCTGTTTTCTTAATTCAGAGTGCTGATGCATTTTGCAAGGCTCAATGCTGCATAACAAAAACTCGTTCTCAAAACATCTGAAGTTATTTCCTTCAAGGAAGGAGAAAGTTTATTGCTTATGCATCCAAGCAAAGCTGATAAAGGGTAACTAAATTTAAGCCTACAGTGTTAGATGACAATAGAACAATAGAAGTGCTCTCCTGAGATCTAATCCAGCAACAAGGAAAGTTAACATACAAGAGAGAAGTTAAAGCTAAAAAGAAGTAACTAAACTAGCCATAATTTTGAAATGCAAAATAAAGCTGTGCATGACTTTATTAGCATGTATAAGTAATACATCATATTTCCATCAATTTGAATGCAGGTAAACATACTGCTAGAAGAGCAGGAGCAATTCCAGCTTCAATTTGCACCTTCTCTAAGCTCTGACTCGCTGGCAAAGGCACACACAGCCATCAGGAGGGAGCACAGTCTCCTGCTAAACAGGTACCCATGACTGACTGATAGCAGTGCTGCTGAGCTCTAGAGATGGGAGGTTCAGCTTCTCTGGTGGTATATAATCTCTGGCATATCCTGGTAGGTACCACTCTGGAAGTATATATATTCTGAAAATGCATATTAATATAACAGATTATAATGTAATACATTATAATCTATTTTAATGTATCAATATATCATTATTAATATAGCTAACACATTCACACAATCTATACCTCAAGAAGTTAGCCTACACTTTCAGCAGGGCAGTCTTCCCCATTTATTAAAAACAAGTATTCTGTTCTTAATCCAGTTTAGCATTTGTGTAATTTGCAACCCAGCAGAATTACACAGCTGCTTTCTATAGACCTTGGACAGTATAGAAAACAGTAATGAAAAATGTTGCTGTAAATTAGCATTTAAACTCATGCTTAAGTCTGTCTTACAGCACACACTGAAAAGATGAAAGTATATGAAGAACACATGCAAGTTCAGGTAGCTGACCAGAATACATAATATGTTAATTGTAATCAAATATGGGCTTAAATACTGTTAATTTTCCCTCTGTCTTCTGACAAACTTTGTGTACCTCATGAGAAGATAACCAGATAAAATTGAAAAGCTGTTTACATCAACTGCTTTATACCTCCATCTCTTGCTTTGTTAACTCTGTAAAGAACAATAAAATCATTGCCCAGAAGCAGTTAAGTAATTCATCATGTTTGAAGAATACTCCACTTTGAACAGAAATAAGGCACTAAACAGACTGAACTGTGCAGTCCTAGCTCTGTCCTGAACTCTAAGCACAAGATCACTACTGATGAAATATGGTCTAACACCAAGGACCCTGAGCTGATACAAGTGAGTGAACTCTTGCCTCCTGATTGGCAGAAGTCAGTTTCGTTGTCAGTTCTTCCTTCATGTTTTCCAGCTGCTGTCGGAGCTGATTCTTATCATCCTCCAAATGCAGCTTCTCCTTCTCAAACTGCTGCTCCAACTCCTGCAGGAATAGTAAGGATGGAAGAAATATTAAATACTTGCCATAGAGTCATAGCAGAGTACAGGTGAACCACATGAGAACAATTCTTATTGACATAAATACTCTTGATCTCAACCAGAACTGACCTTTCCCTCAAATGCTAAAACATGAATATGTATTTCCTTTTACAATGGATGTCTGAATATTTCATTTTCTTTTATAATCTAACATCTGTGATAAATCAAAAAATAAGACAAACAGGATTTTCTTCTCAATTAATTCTCAAAATCATTACAACTATACCTACTTCCACAGTTTTGCAGTCTGAGTTGACAGAACTAGTTTTCACTTTTTATAGAATTACATTGATAATATGCATGTCCTTTAGCCTTTACCCATCTATTTCCTATGCATAATCCCCACAGAAAACAGTAAATCTTAAAATCCAGACTGAGCTCTGTGAAGTTTTTCAGGCTGGTACAATAAACGAAACAAAGCCCCACACCATATCTATAAAATTTACATAGAATCAAAGGAAAACAATTAGTCTTCAAGTTCGACTATACAGAAAGAATCAAGTAATAAATCCATTGTCATTCAATCTCTGTGGTGTAATAGTCGAATTACGAAAATAACTTGGAGGAATTCTCCCTTTCTTACATGAGCCTATGCTGTATATATATTTCTTATAAACCTTTTTCTTTTTTAAGGAAAACTGTAAATTTACACTTCAGTTTTACATCCCAAAGGCATTTTCAGGAGTATAATTTCTTTCACACAACACTTTAAAGTATTACATATTTCAGTAGAATATACTATATAATCTATTATGCCACAAAGTTTTATTGAAGAAAACTAAGGTTGCCAAGAAAGGCACTGCAGAGTCATGTCATACAAGACTTCAAGGTTTTCTATGCAGTGACAGAGGCTCCTCTATTAACGCCTTCCTCGAGGCTCAGGTGGAATGCAAGGCTTAGCATCGATTCAGTGCCTCCATGCAGCCCTGGGCTCAGCTTTCTGAGAAATCAGTAATATCTCAGAAACAGCTGTGAAAATACACAGACCAGAGCCATGCACCAAACAAAAAGTACAACGGTATGTATTGGTAAGATTGTGGAGAAAAGGACAGAGCACTCAAGTCTTAAAGAGAAAAACAGTAATGAAAAGATACATAAGTCCAAGGAAAACTGGGGTTTCCTCCTGAAAGACAGCAATGTAGTGTCATCTAGCTCACTCCAAGAAGCAACACAGGCCAAGCCTTCCTGATCCAAAACCAGAGACTCCTCAAGTATTTTGCAGGGGGTGGTAAGCACATTAAGCCTAGGAGTTTGTTAGTTCTAGCACTACATTAGGGTATGTGGTTGGCAATAAATTATTTCTGTGTGAACTGCTTGCACTCTCTCTTTGTTCATGGCACAAGTTGGACAGAGTGACAAAACAGAGGGTTACGCTGTCAGTAGCACATTCCTGCATGACATAAATCAACAAGTGCCTGTTTTCTTCACAGGGCCCAAGTCAGTCACCACATGGGACAAATGCTCCTTGCTCAATGAAACTCACTCAATTTTTCTTCAGCCTGAAATCTGCTGTCTGCAAAATTTCACTAGTGCTATTCATACCCTATTCTGATAACTGAGCAATTAGTTCCTTTATGATACTTGTCAGTACAGCTGTGCAACACTGCAAAATTATTAGCAACTCTATTTTCATAATCCTCCTATGAACTGATGCCATTTTTACAGCTCATTTTATAGATGGAAGAATTTAAGCAAAAAGAAATATTTAAGCTATTTCTTGAGTCCTACCCTCATTCTTTAGAATTCTCTTCTGTTCCAGTTTTTTTCAAATGGCTTTCCAAGCCCCAGATGCATTTCCCAGGCTTTCAGTCCCAATAAATCTTCTATCCCAAGGCTCCTGCTACCATGTTTCTTCCTTGTACTAAATTCAACTCTCCTCCACATTTAAGACTGACTGTTTTCCTCCTTGGATTACTCAAACATCACAACATGTGCTTAGTGAGACAGGTTTGACAGAGGGGACAGTGAAATCTGATTAAGATTTAGGATCAGTGGAATCTGATTAAGATTTACCAAGACCTTGATCCTGATATCTTTTCAGAGCTTAGTTTTCCCTTGTTAAAATCATTTCACACTTCTCACATTTATAAAGGTGTTCCCTATTTCAACTAATTTAATGATTTAAGAAAAAAATGTTTTATGATATTTTGATTTATTCTCAACATTATTTTAATAACAAAGAAAAGAAAAGAAAAAAACAAACCCACATCTTAGTGAAATAAAAGAAAAATATACCCAGAAATCCTTGAGACATTGTCTTAGTAACAGGCATCTTTGAAGTTACAAAGAAAGTAAACCTGAAAGATCAGGTGCACACATGTCTCTGAGAACTACTTCAATTACTGGGAGACAAAAAAGTCTTTGGGATTTATTAAAAATAAAACTGAGAAGCAACACACTAGTAAAATAATTCACAAAACCAAACCCAACCTCAGTCTGAGATGCACATCATTAAGTACAGTTGTGTTTCTTGGTATGTTTCCTCTGAACACAGCAGAGGAGCAAAACAAAACCTTGAATTAAACAATTAATCTTTATCCTCCATTTATGGTGTAAAGCAAAATTTGTGCACAATGAACATATAATCAGATTAGGAAATAATAATTCACAAATGGGCCTCTCATCCCAACAAAGACAAAGGCAATTTTGTGAAACAAAAAAGCCTTTCAGTTTCAGGGTTCCAGTCAAAGGTAAATGAATAGTTGCTGTACAGTGAGTGCAATTTCATGATGTAAGCTAGGAACAGCTGTTGTTTTCTGAGTACACACACAACCAAATCCTTACATATTATCTTTTGGTACTTCTGGACTGTGTACGAAAATTTTAAATAAACATTAGAGTAATGCAATCTTTCTTCTCTTTCAAAAGAGCAGATCTTGATTGATATGCCAACCCTGCTATATACAGGTCACAAAACCTGCGAAAACACACCCACTATACTCAAAAAGACAGTTATGTACATTGAGAATTTCTCTTCTCTATGCAAATGACAGCACAAGTGCTCTTTTCTTTTTTTGGCAAAATACATGTGTTATTTTAATAAAGGCTGAGCAGTTTCTTCAGAGAGGCCCAGCAGAACTGCAGGGAATTCCAAACCAAACTTGCCTTAAAACAAAACCATGCAGTACAAGGTTTAAACTGTAACATTTGATTCTAAGAAAACACAAACCTACCATCTGTAGTTTCTTCTTATCCTTATTAGCATTACTATGTGCAGCCTCAATTGCAGTATGGTGTTTCCATGCCAATTCTTCTAAGGTCTTGGAATGAGCCTCCTTTAACTGTGCAGCCTCTCCTTCCAACCTTGCTTGCAATTTTACCAGCTCCTTCTCATAATATTCACGTTGTGTCTCCCTTGCTTCATTTACTTTCTATAAAATACAAGTAAAAAATTTATAACAAATGGTAAAAAAATCTGAGCAGGAATAAAAAAAATACAGAAAAATATTACTGATTACTTTAATCTACAAAAAAATTAACTTCCATAAAAACAAACTGAGCAAACAGTAAGCAGGGACTACATCATTCAATAACTGAAAAGGTAGTTTCAACAGATCCATGCAAAGCAATATATCCTTATTAAAGATCTACTTTTCTGATATAGAGCCTACAGAGAATTTCGGTTTAGTATTTTCAAACATGTTCAGTGCATTTTCAGCCAATGGCTTTTTAAACTGTTCTTTAACCATATCACATCTGTCTTGCTGAGACACTTTAGATACATGAGGTCACAAATCAAATGAAATTGTTAAAAGGTGTCCAAAACAGTCTGAACAACAGCTAATCTGACCTCCCCCTAATCCCACTTTACACTCTATATTAGTCACTCTATGTCACTACATGAAATGTACTTGAAACATACTGGTCCTAGTCCAGTCATGTCAACCAAAAATTAAAACATTATCATTCTTTTTCTGAGAATTCTAGGTATTTTGCTTTTATTCAACTAAAGCCAATAAACTGTTTGACCTTCTCCAATGCCAGAATTTGCTGCCTTTGTCGCTCATCCAGACTCTGTGTTTTGCTTTGTAATAAGTTTCTTTCCTCTTCCAGCTGGGACAACTTTTCCTTTAATCTAGACTTTTCTGATTCCAAATCTCTGATTGTAACTTCTTGAGTCATTTGAGTAGCTTGAAGCATTCCAATGTGACCTAAAAACAAAACAGCTCTTTAAAACCTCACAGCATTGGTTTCATGCAATTGAAGTGCACATTCATACTCCAGTGGATTTCTAGAAGTACAAATCTAGTGGAAGTTGCATATGGATCTCCCTTGTCTTCACTGCAATGCTCATCTTCCCCTCCACTTTTCACTTTTTTAGGTTTATTGCAAAATGTCCAAGAACAGTAGTAAAGCACATGCTGCTGATGCTCCTTTCGTTTCAATTTCCCTGGTTCAAAGTTGTATATTGGCTCCCAAGAGAAAGCAGAAGTAGGCAGAACTATCAACACTGACACCATCTGAACAACTTACCCTGCCTGAAACTGCATATTTTTACCCCACGATAAGCTACACAACACAAAGCAGAGCATTAACATCTAAAGGTAAAGATGTTAATGTTTTATCAAACCCATCATTTAGCCAGCAGGGTAGACATATAGCTTTAGCTGCTGTGAGTCTTACAGAATTCCACTGTGCTTTTTTTTGCTGTAGGAATGTGACTAAAAGATGTAACAGAACTTGTTCTTTCAATAGTAAAACATGATCTAAATCCTTGCAGATTTTACTTCTTTACAAATAATTAAATAAAAACCAAACAAAAAGTCAAACTTCAAAGTAGGCAATATAACCATCTGTCCTTCACATAACCAGTGGGAAAAGTTTTAGGACTTCAGAAACTTATGTCCTTGTTTTTAATGTGTATCTGTATTATTGAAAATACTACCACTGGATAACTGACTAAAGCACTGAAATTCCTGGTTTTCTGGAAGTGGCTTTGGAGTGGCTGGCAGACTGTTTTGGAAAAGGGAGTGCTCCTAAGTTTGTTCAACTGAAAGATGAACGGTACTGGTTACTTAGAATAAATTATTATTTTTGTAATTGAAACTTCTAGGAGAGACTTCTTGTTTCCCCTTTCATTTTATTATAACCTTCAAAAATGACAGATTAGTTGGGTTTTAATAACAGTGTTGCTTTTAAATGTAAAAGAAACAGCTAAGAAAGTGGACAGTTTGCTGTTGTTTCTACAAAACAAAATCACTGAGCCTCACAATTCATTTCCATCTGTGGTCAAAAGCAAGACATGCCAAAAAGGAGACTTCTTGTCTTTGTGGGCACTGATGTGAAGGGAAGAACAGTGGGATACATAACAAAATTTGGAAATGAAAAATGCTTCAAAATTAATAGTAATTTCCTAAAAAATGCACATCTCTAATTATACTAAGCCCTAAAGAATTCTACAAATAATTTCAGCATTTTTGTTTGATAAAACTAAAAAATGGATGTGTAAAACTAAATATAATGAGTATGTTTAACTACTGTAATATTAAAAAAAAAAACCTTGTTTCAAAAGCTTGGCCATTTGAGAAAGGTATTTTAAACCCCAGAAAGTTAGTGTGTAACAACGTGAGTAACAATACAAGAATTTTGTCAGAAAGTATCATGCACATGCATATTTTATTGTAAGCACACACACATACACTGATCTAGAGCTTTTGTCCTAACAATACTGACACACAAGACAGGTTTCCCATTCCTCATGTTCTGCACAGGAGGTATGAAACACAGCAGTTAAGTTGGGAATCTCAGGACAATGGAAGAAGAATATATTAATTGCCCAAAATAGACTCAATACAGTGTTCTAAAATTGCCATACAAGGAGTAAACATTCTGTATGGTAATTAAGCATGAGGATTCAGTTTCTTTGAGGCAGGCTTTTTGACTTCCAAGTGTGAGCTGAAAATCAAGGAGATGGCAGTGGGCCAGTGTCAGAAACCATCTCCAAACAGGCTGGAAACCAAATACATCCCATGGTAATGGCTTGGTGGCAGCACTGTAAACAGGGATCCTGGTTCCTGTTGCACAGCAACGTACTGTAAAACAAAGATGCCCTGCTGACAGTACCACTGAGCTTGGCAACAGCACAGACACACTGGAACTCCTGGGAAAGCTAAAAACCTCAGTGCTGGACTGGATCACAGGCTAGCTGACTCCATGCCACCAGTAATACAGAAAAACAGCCTGATATTTAAGGTCATTTCCACTACATGGAAATGGCCTGGTGAATCCCTCCCATGCTTCTGCCCAGGGAATGAAATACTAATGGCTAATGAGTGTATATAAGGACAGGTTTATCCCTCAACAGGCTCAGGTCATGAATTCTTCTGAGTGCCTCACAAAACACCTTTTGGAGGGTCAGATTCTTATTTGAGAGACTAGGACCTTGGGCCTCTGCTGGCCTCCATATTGTCCAAACACATAGCCCAGACTATTCCTAGCCCTCACCTTAGCCATGTCTGGCACATGAGGCTCTCTTAGGCAGCAGATACACTCGGTCAATCTGTAGGAATTGCTTTGTTATTTGAAGGACAGAAATAAAGCCTTGACATGGGCCACATTCACACACCTAGTCTGAGGGCTAGGCCACATGTACATAGACAGTAGTAAGCTATCACAGCAATAGTAAATATAGTATACAAACGAAGAGTAAGCTATTAAAATGCTAGCAAGTTAACCCTGCAAAGTACTGTCTGTCTCCAAGGCCAACTGGCACAGTCTGGCAACATCCATCCTTCAAAACAAGGTGATCTTATCCAAACTGACTTTTGGGAAAGGCTCCGGGCTTGTGCTAATTTGTGTGGAAAACAATCAGGTATTGCTACAATTGGTCTAGCTGAACAAAGCTAAAGACAAGCCAAGGCCTTATTTTTAGGCTATGATCGTACCTATTGCATAGTTAGTTAAGTTGAAGTAGTTATGCCCATGCCCTACTACTCTGCAAGCAGGTAGTGAGACAAGGCCAAAGAGCAAAAACCTGCATGTGTACAGTCAGATCTTAAATCATTCTTTGCACCTTCCCATATGCCAACCAGCACAAAGGAATGAAGAGAACAGCTACAGAGAAAATCCTAAAGACTTATTATTCCATAAGCTGCAAGTATTCTGACAGTAGGTGTAAAGCAAAGTACCACAGTCTTAGCAGAAACTAAAAGCAACTGAAAAAAAGATGGAAGAACAAGAAGCATGTCTCAGTGGAGAACAGATACACAGCAGCAGCATTCTGTACAATGCAGTTCCAAGGCCTGGAAGATATGTACATGCCATACAAAGTAGAACATTTGGACAAATAAGTACATAAAAAGAGTCTTAAGTACAATGCATGTGATATCAAAAAAAGTTTTTTAAAAAAAGAAACAACAGAACTTGTCAGAAATTTCTATGGACAGCTTTAAACAGTCTTTAGGCACTTTAAGCCTTCGCAAGGCTGACAGAAAAAGGAAAGGCTAGAATAAAAGGATGAAGTTCATTTCCAGATTAAGTTACTGACATACATACTGGCTTTGAGAACAAGATCAGTGGCCTGCTGCTGTAAGCGCTCTCTAGCAGCTGCTAGCTCACTTTCCACTTCTTTGTGTTTGCTTAACAATGACATCTCCTCCTCCTTCACATCATCTAGTTGTTTTTGAAGAACCTAGAAGAAACACGTAATACCTGTTACCATTATATATAATCATGTAAATTTACATGAGCAATAGCTTAAAAGGTACAGAAAACACCTTTCAGCACCAAGTTTTATTCATACAAAAGCTAAAATAGCAGAATATTACTGCCATATTCATTTAGTATTATATGCAATGCTTCAAAGATACTTTTGGAAAAAACAAGATGTTTTTGGAAAAACATGCCATGGATTCATGGCATGACAATAATGTCTAAACTATAAAATGGTTTCTGGTATCTCAGAGTTCTTCACATTACAGAATACATTACATGTTCACAACAGTTCACAGTGTCCTTCATAGCAACTGAGTGTTTAGTACTGACACAAATTAAGCTGCATGTGGCTATACATAAAACGAGAGCTGGGCAATCAGTTTAATCACACATTCTTCAGGGGTGGGTGTTGGAACCGGCTGTTCTTAACATCTTTGTTGGCAACATGAACAGTGGGAACTGAGTGCACCTTCAGCTGAGTGCACTGACAACACCAAGCTGTGTGGGGCAGTCAACAAGCTTGAGGGAAAGGATATCATCCAGACAGGCATGAGAGGTGAACCCATGTGAACCTCGTGAAGTCCAACAAGGCCAAGTGCAAGGTCCTGCACACGGGTCAGGCAATCCCAAGCACAAGTACAGGCCATGCAGGAAGGAAAAGGAAATCTTGCTCTGTTTTAAAAAGAAATATAGATTTCTCACCATTTAAGCTACCAGAATAGTAAAGGGTCATTTCAGAAACTAAAACAGAAAAGAGAATTGGAGAAAACACTATACAGGACACATAATGAAACATAGCCCCTAGATGTCATGAGATTATGCATTTGATCACCTCATCCACAGTGATCAGAGTAGGACCTGACTTTAAAATCTGCTGTGAATACTGTACTAGACTGTTCTTTGGAAACAAAAGGAACTCCTCTATTGCAGGAATGATCAGCATACAGCAGGTTTCCTCTTCAGTGCAGCTTGCCAGAAACCTGTCTCTTTGATGTAGTCAATTAAAAGGCAAAAGTTCTGCTTTGTTAACTGAACGGACTTGGAAATGAACTTTTGGAAGGCCCCCCGGGTAACTGGAAAAATGTATTCTGAATGCAGCATCTGATAAAAGCAGCAGTCTTCTTTTACTGTACCCTGTAGCCTTTACACAAGAAAGAAGGATAGGCCAAAATATAGGCTGGAATTAGACAGTAAATGAGGAAAGTTCATGGCCCATCTTAGCTCTACCCAATTATGCTTGCAAAATTATATGACCATCACGTTTAAGTACTTCTGGCTTTGAAAGCTGAGAGCAAGCCTCAGCACAGCCACCAAACACGAGCAGAATTCTAGAATCTTTTCCTTCAAGTTCAGCATACCTAGACCTATGTGTTGCCAACTGAAAAAAAAATCCAGTCTTGCATTTCTGGGTTGTCTTGTCCTTCTTCAGGGATAAGAAACTTTTGCTTCTAAATATATCTGGTTTGTGTGGAAGAGTTTCTCTAGGCTAGGGGGTGCCACAGAGGTGGCTCTCATGAGGATGTGCTGGAAGGTGACAGAGCCAATGCCAGCTGGCTCCAAGATGCGCCCACCACTGGCCAAGGCTGGGCCCATCAGCAACAGTGGTAGTGTCTCTGGGATAATGTACTTAAAAAAGGTAAAGAATTATTGTACAGAAGCAATTGCAGATAGAGAATCAAGGAGTGACAGGAGGTGAGAGCAACAGCCCTGCAGACCCCAAGGTCAGTGCGGAAGGAGGGGAAGGAGGTGCTCCAGGCACTGGAGCAAAGATTCCCCTGCAGCCCATGGTGAAGACCAGGGTGAGACAGGCTGTCCCCCTGCAGGGCCCCACACCAGGGCAGCTGGGTGCCCAAAGGAGGCTGGGGTACCACGAGAAGCCCACGCTGGAGCAGGCTCCTGGCAGAACTTGTGACTTTGGGGAGAGGACCCACAATGAAGCAGTTTTTCTTGAAGGGCTGCACCCAATGGAAGGGACCCACGCTGGGACATTTTATGAAGAACTGCAGCCCATGGGAAGGACTCACATTAGAGAAGTTGGTGGAGGACTGCCTCCAGTGTGAGGGACCCCACACTGGAGCAGGGTGAGAGTTTGAGCAGTCCTCCCCCTGAAGAAGTGGCAGAGACAATACATGATGAACTGAGTGCAACCCCCTTCACTATTCCCCTGTGCTGCTGAGGGGGGAGGAGGTAGAAAGCTGGGAATAAAGTTAAGCCTGGGAAGGAGGAAGGGGTGGGAAGAAAGGGCTCTTAAGATTTGTTTTTACTTCTCATTATCCTACTCTGATTTGATTGGTAATAAATTAAATTCCTTTGCCCAAAGTTGAGTCCGTTTTGCCTATGATCGTCACTGGTGTGTGATCTCTCCCTGCCCTTATCTCAACCCATGAGCCTTTTGTTACATTCCCTCTCCCCTGTCTAGTTGAGGAGGGGAATGGTAGAGCAGCTTCAGTGGCCTCTTCTCATTCAGCCAGTTTCAACCCAACACACTAAATAAAACAGTGCTGGAGTTTAACCCAGTAAGCAGTTAATTATGACACAGCCAACTGCTCACTACCCCCACAGTGGGATGGGAGAAAAAAATCAGTAGAGTAAAAGTGAAAAAGCTCGTGGGTTGAAATACAGACAGCTTAATAGATAAAACAAAAGCCACATACACGCAATCAAAGCAAAACAAGGAATTCATTCACCACTTCCCACGGGCTGGCAAGTGCTCAGCCATCCCCAGGAAAGCAAGGTTCCATCACATGTAGAGGTGACTTGGGAAGATAAACACCATCACACCAAATACCTCCCCTTCCTTCTTCTTCCCCCAAGTTTATATGCTGAGTATGATGCCACATGTTACGGAATATCCCTATGGTCAGCTGTCCCAGCTGTGCCCCCTCCCAACAGCTTGGGCACCCCCAGCCTCCTTGATGGTGGGGTGAGCAGCTGAAAAGATCTTGACTCTGTGTAAGCTAAAGTACCCCTGTATTATCAACGTTTTCCAGCACAAATCCAACACATGGTGCTCCATAGGCTGCTATGAAGTAGATTAACTCTATCCCAGCCAAAATCAGCAACATACTGAAGATGTGTGCAGTATTTCAGTTAGTGTTTGTGAAAACATAATTAAGCATATTAAAATATAAACAAATTAAAAAATTATAAGATTATAAGCAAGCAGAAGTGACAGAGAATTAAGTTTACACACTCCAATTACCTCAACCTACCAGCCTCATGGAAAGATACCACAAACACTAAAAGAAAATTCAGAATCTTGGGAACAATATGTCACCTGTCTCACCTGAACATTGTTTTCTGCTGTACCAAGAGCCACCTGAAGTTTTTGGCATTTTTCCCGTAGACTGGCAGCTTCATCCTGGACCATTTGCAATTCAGTTTTAAGCTTGCCCAGATTCTTCCGTAACATACTTTCCTGGGTTTGAAATTCTTTTCTTAGCTCCACTTCTTTTTCTTTGCAAGCATGTAGACTTTCTGCTGTAAAAAGCTGAGATCTTTTCAAAGAGTCAAGTTCATGTTCATAGAAGGACTGTGCTTTGCTGAGTTTGCCTTCATAGTCCTCAATGAGTTTTTTTCTCTCCAGCCTTAACTCTTCAACTTTATTGTTCAAGTCTTCCAGCTCCAGTCTATGTAATTCCTCTAGTTTTTCCTGCCCCTTGCTTAAGGTAGCATTCTGACTCTGATGAGTCTTCAGAAGTTCTTGAATCTCAAGCCTGTGGGCAGCTTTCAAGTCTTCCAGAGCTGTACGTTTGTCCTTCTCATACTGCACTTGCAACTGTATGAAACTGCGTAGCCTTTCCTCAAATTTCTTTCTGATCTCTTCTACTTCCCTCGACATGGTCACGACACGTTGGACATGCTGAGCTTCTGCACAAAGCTGCATATCTTCAACTCTGTCCTTATATGCCTCAAATTCTGTCAAGGCCTGATGTTTCATCTTTTTATGATCTTCTAGTGACTCTTCCAAAACTTGGATCTTTCTCTTGAGATCCATTTCTTCTGCCACTTTACTTTTATACTGCAATATCTTCTCTCTGGTCTCTGCAAGAATTTGTTGAATTTCTTCTTCATGAGCATCCTTAAGGGCTTGGATAGCTGCTTCATGCTCGTCATTTTTCGTGTTCAAAGCATATATTACCTGCAAACATGAAATAATATTATATTAGAGAAACGACATTCTAGTTATCTGCTAAATTCTAAGAAAAAAAACCACCTAGGCATTCTGAAAGCTACTTTGTCTTTCTGGCTTGTTTACACCACACAACTAAAACACCAAATGTTATTATGACTGCAACTGCATAAATACTGTATTAGTCATGATATTCTTATACACCTTGTAGAATAGTTTTTCTATGCTCTTTAAACCTCTAATTTTCCTGATGAAAGCTTTTGTTTTATATGCATGTTGTTGCTGTAAATACCACTGGGAAGAAAGCACAGTCAACACATTAAAATAAAAAAAAAGCACCAAAATTTATTTTAAATAATCAAAAGCATAGTTTAAAAGACTTTGAATAGAGGTTTTCTGCTGGAGAATACCACACACAGTATATATTACTACAAGAAATTAAACTGGAACAAAAGCCAAATCTCAAATCCATCCTTTCCACATGCTAACCAGTCTTAAATATTTCATTTCAGAAACATCTAAAATGCAAACACTGGTTGTTTTGGTTTGTAAGCATGATGGTTGCCCAGATACAATTTCACTTTTGACAGCTTATCTAGCAGGCATTCTGTGTATGTGTATGTCCTAAGGTCTAAGGTCCCTCACTACAATAAATTCACCAACCTCCCACCTAGTAGGTCAGCTGAAAGAAAAGTTCAGCACAGGGCAGCCAACAGTCTGGGGAGCCCAGGGAGCTAAGCAGTTCAAGAAGGCCATGAAAGCAGCAAAAGCACCATCTTTCAGTGAAGTAGATACATCCTGTGGGATGTTTCAATTGCACCACAACATAGTAGATCATCATCCTGGTTTTTAACCAGGAAGTATAACTAGGTATCTGTGTATGTATGTGTATAGGTATATATGAGTGAATAAACTATTCATGCAATAAGTGGTGTTAATGCAATCGTTTGTGCTTCAAGAACTCCAGCAAATCTCCCCACACGTTACAGGCAGCAGAGCTACAAAACACATCTGAACAACAAGAAAAAGGTATTCTGAGTAGTACACCTTAAAAATGAACAAGTAGCAACAAAAACGGACAACAAATAAGCATCAGTGGATACTTTTTTTGATGAGGACAGAACGTAGACTATTGGCATTCAAGAAGGCAACAGAGGAAGACTACGCTGACTTGCCCTCAGGGCTGGGAAATATGAAGATGGCTCAGAATTGCTCTCCTGGCTCCAAGCACAAAGTGTTTTCCAGACTAGAGAAAGTGTCTACAGTCAGGTGTTCAGACAAGCTAAAAGGCACAAAAGAGTTCTCATAAGTGATAAAGCAGATTCAATACTTTGGCCATTTAATATAATGAGCTTTGTTCTCTGGTAGTTTTTTTGTTTGGTTGCTTTAACAAAAGTCCAGACACTGTATTCTAAGTTTATGCCCAAAATAACAAACATACCCCCTTCTGTTACCTGTGCCACAAAACCCTAAAAGGACAGGCTTTAGAATAAAATAGGAAAAAAAAAAGTTCTGAAGCAGTATTCGTGGCAAAAACCCTAAACAGCTTCATCTTTATATAGCAAGGAAATAACCTTGAAAATATCACTAAAAACACTTTAACTTATGCTAATTAAATTTTTCTAACTAAGTATATGCTGTTTAATGAAAGAGCCAAAAATATAGGTCTTGCATAGTTTTGGTAACTGTGCTTAATACAGTTTATACCACTGCAGGCACCAAACAGACTTTTGGCTTTCTTCCTCACCAGAAAAAAATAATCAATTTCCTACTGTGAAGGAGCTTCACAGTTCAGAGACTCAAAAAACACCAATACATCATAAAAAATGACAACAAAACCATATGCAATTCCATTAGCAAAATCACAACTATCACTGCAATGCCCTTCACCCAAGGTTTCAATCTTTTATATTCTCATTGTCTTTGTCAATCATGGAATCATAGAATCATCAAGGTTGGAAGATACCTTTAAGATCATCAAGTCCGACCGTTCACCCAGCACTACCACTGTAACCCCTACACCCTGTCATCCAGACCTAGGCACCTCCTATACACTTCCAGGGATGGTGACTCCACCACCTGCCTGGGCAACCTATTCCAGTGCCTGAACACCCTCACAGGGAAATTTTTTTTTCTAATATCCAATCTGATTCTCCCCTGTCTCAGCTTATGACTGTTCCCTCTAGTCCTCTCACTGCAGGCATGGCAGAAGACACCATCCCCCACTGCTCTACAACCCATTTCAGGTAGCTGTAGAGAGCAACGAGGTCACCCCTGAACTGCCTCAAGACTAAACAAACCCAACTCCCTCAGCCCTTCCTCATACTAGATGTGTTCTAGACCTTTGATAAGCCTTGTTGCCCTTCTCTGGACACACTCCAGTACCTCAATGTAATTTTTAAAGTGAGGGGCCCAAAACTAAACACAGTACTCGGGGTGGGGTTCCCTAGTCCTGCTGCCACACTATTCTTGATACAGGCCAATATGCCATTGGCCTCCTTGGCCACACTGCTGGCTGATACTGAGCCACTGCCAGCCAGCACCCCCAAATCCCTTTCTGATTAACTCTCAAGCCACTCCTCCCCCAGCCTGCAGTGTTCCATGGGGTTGCTGCAACCTAAGTGCACAACACTTTGCCTTACTGAACTTCATTCAGTGATGCCAACAGTAACTTCTGATCACAAAGCTTTCGCCTTCCTCCTGTCACCAACAGAGTCTCAGCTATTGGATCCCAAAGGTTTGTTTCCCTGTCATTTTAATGGTGTCCAGTCCAGCACTCAGCTCCTTTGTTCATAACAGAAACACTTTGAAAACTGAAGGTTTGGGGTTTTTATTAAATGTACATGCACAGTCTAGCATGAATAGGCCTTAGTTTTGGTTAGAGACGCTAGACAATGTAACTTACAAGGTACTATAAAAAATAAATCTCATACTGAGAATCTGGTTATTGTAATAAGCATTTGCAGAACATTAGGTAAAATCCCATGTTTAAAACAGCCCTTGACCCCTGTCTTTGTGCATAGAAGTACCATAATGTTCTGCACCTCAGGCAGTGTTCCAGTCTCAGGCTATGCAGCACTATGATCTGCAGAAAGTATAACTCAAAGTATTTTCAAGGGTATTATGATTTAGCAGTGGGAATCCCATTGAAAATTTCAAGTGAAAAATAAGCCTATATGCAATGCCAGTTTCAGAAGGTATCTTTAAATTGTCACTGACTTGCTCCTTACAAAAAGCACTGAAAATAAAGAATTCAGTCCATTCCCTGAATGGACATGTGTATCTTATGGAAAATGTAAAAATAGAATAAAATGCATGCAACTGAACATTGTATCATATGTTCTACAGCAGCCTGAATTCCAGCTCTACCAAATTATTATAGACCTCAGTAATTCTAAAGAAATGGAATAGCTGTATCAGATTTTATCTTTGAGAATTTGATGTACTGGATTAGTACAGGAACATGGGAAAAGAAGTCTGTACTAACTGAAGCAAAAGCAACCTAACAGCATGTCAAGGAAATGAATGCAGAAATTGAAATACCCTGGAACAAATTAATATATTTAAAGTTCTAGCTAAAATAAATAGCTCCATCTCAAGCAAGTTTCTGAAATCTGAAAAGCAGTATGAAAAAGCAGTAATGTTGCAAACACTGGAGGTAGGTAGATAAAACAAGCTTTGCACTCTCTATTTTTAAACCAGAGGATGAGCCATTTCCTAAGCATGCTTGCAAATGCTTTCAAAAATGCTTTCAAAAAATACTAGCAGCTTTTCCAGTACAAATGCATAATACTAAGAAGCATAAACTGCTCCTTTGAGGAATTTATATTTTTCCAGCTCCACGCTAAATGCATCATACACATAGCAATTCTTATCAGATGACAGAAAAAAAATCATTCTTTATTGTACTTTCTGCCAGCATATCATTTCAGAGGTGAAGACAGAACAATGCTCTCTCCAAGGATACTGAGATTGCCAGCTAAAGCCCTCAATGCTTTTTATACAAATCAGTAACATAGTTAAATATTATTAAGATTCTACTAAAGTACTATGTGCCTTGGCCTGAAGAACTACAACAGAGTAAGTTAGTAACGATAGCAATAATAACCTTGTTTATGTCAATAATTATTGGAGTGTTTTGCTATATTCTATGCAGTAAGGCAAAGCAAGTCAGTCGCTGCATTAGCTCAAAACACAGTCTTGATCTACGTGGAATACAACCAACCATCCGTGTTCCACACTGTTTGTGCCTGAAAGATGAAACTTTGACTATTTGGCTAAGAAATACATTTTACTCCAAACCAGATGTTAGGGTTTGGAGAGCTGACCAACTCTTGCATGGTCAGCTGCACTTTGGTCAGCTGCTCCTGCCAGCAACTCAGTCATGATGGAATGCATTTCTCATTACAAATGTGTAATTCACCTTAATGCTAGTATATTTTGCAGCACAGAAAACCATATTCTATGATTCCATGAAAAACCTCCAAAAATGTGTGGGGTTCACCTTCTCTCATTTTACATGAAAACAAATGCTATGAGAAAAAAACATCACTACACATCTTTAACAAACACCAACTTTATGACTCTGGGTAAAAACCCCTTCATTTTGGATGTAATGAGTGGGTCCCTGGGTCAGAACACTGTATTTAGCCTCATTCAGGTGGTGTGTTCCCAGTGCTGCTGGGGTGCTGCTCCCTGAAACACTAGTTTGAAACTCCAGAGACATCCCAAGATTTTGTCAGTGCTGCCCATCTATTGAATGAACCACACAAGTACAGTGCCAACAAGGAATTGCTTGTGCATAACCTGCTAATGATTCGGAAAACATGGACCTATAAGCCTGACCTGCCCTTGCTGTCTACGAGTAGGTAAGAACTGCTAGATGCAGGAGGAAGTAAAGATATACTGGGAAACAATAACAAGTGCATCAGGATGCAAACAGAGAAGTTCAGTCTACAAAATCAACAAGAAACACCAGAAAACTTCCAGGCATTATCATGAAT